AAATTAAATACAAGTATATGAAGGGTGCAGGAGTAATTGAACGTGGCATTCGCCCAAGATACTTCTTCCTCACAGTCAAACACTAAAGCCTTTTGGACAAGTACTTACTGCTCGTTGAGTGGAACAGCAACCATCATCTAATCCAGCTGCGGTGTCAACTGAGATAGTGAAAAGCATTGTGTGCAGATTTAGGTACCTTCTCCAAGCAGACCTACAGAATCTTGAAAACATCTTAACCGCTTTCATGGTTGTGCCTTTGAAATAGGTGAGGAAAACCGATTCATTAATTCAATAATTTAAGTCATTATCACCAACTGACGCATGTCTTATCAGCCACTGTGATTATGATATTATTATTACTGTATTCAATCATAACGTTGTTTAGGTACTGGATATTCCTGCATTTATCCGATCCTGGGTCATAAACTGTGCGGATGGAATTTTGTTGCTATGGACAAGGAAGAGGCTGCCGTGAATTGCGCTCGAAGAAACGTCGAGGTAAACAACATGCAGGACTACATACGGGGTAGGTAGTCGTGTGATAACTTGTTCACATGATTATCATACGATAACTTGGTCATTGGTTTCTAGTAGTGAAGGTGAACGACGAGTGCTCATTTTATGACGTTGTGTCGTCCAGCTCGATTCCTTGCTTTCATTTCCTGATGTGCAACCCGCCGTTTTACTCTTCCGCTACCGAGTCGATGTCAATCAGTCGTGAACGACGCCCCAAGCCGCATTCAGCGACCACCGCGAAGCCAGTGGAAGTGTATGCTGAAGGCGGCGAGATCGTTTTCATTGGAAAGATTATCGAAGACAGCTTCAAACTTCAAAAGAAAGTCAGGTGATCGGTTGTGAAGTTTAGAAATGGTTCGATTGTAGTATTTTCAAGTCAGTCGTTTTCAGAATTTATACATCGATGATCGGTAAGAAGACCAGTTTGGGGCCGATAAAAAATAAGCTAAAGGAATTGCACGTAATTGTGACAGTTTTTTCTCTCTCCGTTGTCAGACGCTGGTTGATGACCGGATTTCATTGCAGGTTTCTCAGATGTGCGAGACGACGTTTTGTCAAGGAAAGACGCAGCGGTGGGCGGTCGCGTGGTCATTCGATCCAAGCGTTTCACTAAATGTGGAGAATGGTGTTTCTTGCAATTTTTGACTTTATCATCGCAGATGCAGTCGCTGGGCCGGCAGACGACGTCGAAGAAGCTGTTCAAAATGCGTATTCCCAATGAACCGATGTCTTCAGGTTTGGCCCTCGATTTCGAAGTGGCTGTCAAGCGAGTCATTCAGCTGCTTGAAAATCTGCAGGTAGTTTTTTCGAAGATTTTGCGAGTCGTATGAAGTTTCACATATTATTGAATGAATGCTATTACACAGAGACGATTTATTTGCATGATAAAAAAGAGGCTAAAACTTGATGGCGAACATGAAATAAACACAACACACGGCGTGACACGTTATCACCGCGATAGAAAAACAAAAAATAAACTATACTATATTGGGCATTGTTGAATAATGCTGTGTCAGTACGTTGCAGTCCTTGAGACCCCTTGCTGAAGCTGGGACGAATGATCATCTTCTGTGGCTCTTTCCGAGAATCAGCTAATAAATCTGGGTCTGACGGATACGTTGAGCAGCAGGCATTGATCAATCCTGTTAAGAAAAGGATGGATCGGAA